GATTTTCCATAAAAGTTATACGTTATAAAACTTAATATTTTTATGGAATTTTTATATCAAATTTTTTATTGGGCTGAGCCAAAAATTTCACGAACTACTTACAGTTATCTTTAAGTTTTCGTGATTATATTATAAAAATTCTATATTAATATGTCAATATATATAATTAGCTTTCAGTGAAAATAAACTTTTAGATTTTTAATGCAAGTAAACTTAAAGATGATTGGTTTTTTTATGCAATTTGCTTACCAATCGATGACACCAGTTTTAACTCAAAAATTTCAAGTGAAAGTTTTTAAATAAAGTTTTTTTAATTTTTATTATAATTTTCTCTTTTTTGGTTGTTAATAACATATATGCAATAAAATAAAAACGAGATGAAAATGAAAATGTAATAAAAACGCGAAATAAAAACAAAAAAAATGCTTTTAAAATTTGAAAATTTAATAAAAATCCTTTGAATTGAACTTTGATATAAAATTTTTATAAAAAAAATTTTTTTCGGTTAATTTCGTTAATCAATTTAGCAAATTATGCGTCACGTGATTTTAATTTCATTGGATCGTCAATGTAGATCATCATGTGGATCGGCATTTTAGCTGACCAATCAATGGATTTTTATCTATGCTCTGCCGATCTATTACGAATTTCTTTATCACGTGAATTTAAAATGGGCTGTGATTTTAACGCTCCGGAAACAGTTGACTAGCAAATTGAGCATATTTGACGTTTGATGATAACTTGAAAATGTTGTATTATTATTAAGGTTTATTATTACACATAAATCATGGGACAATTTACCAATCTGTTATTACCTTTCACTTTCATTTGGTGTCGATGGTCTTTTTAAGATCGAAGTATGTCATTCGAAGCTAAAGTTCGTCTAGATGTTATGTATCATTGTTGGTTTATGCTTGAGTATTGTAATGGTATTATTATTTATTCAGTTATGATACAAAGTTTTGCAAAAAACGTACGCCATGCGAAGGATTTTAAAAATCAAATTCATTTTTCGTTTAGAAAATGAAAAATTATACTGTAAATTTTGCAATAATGTAGTATGACCGAATGAGCAATTTATTGTGGTTTATTTTAAAGTTATTGCATTTCTTTTGTAATTTACTTGAGTTGAACTACCTATATTAACATAACACAAAATAAATGCTTTTACCTCTACTTGCATATGACATCTAATTACTCATCAATAAACTTCAATTATTAATTTTTTAATTTTAATTTTAAAAAAATTAAAATTAAAAATTAAGCTTGATACCATCTGTGAAATTCATGATAACGGATATATAATTTTTTTTAATAAACTTTGAAGCTTTAAACTGTTCTATTTAAGTAACATTAAAATTTAAAAAATGACCCGGGGACCCGGGGTTTTATTGCTTATTAATAAAAAAATTTTTATATGTCAATAATAACGAAGTGACTGGGTTGGGGTAATACATTATAATCTGATCTGTTATAAGTAAAAAGAGAATATAAATTTTAGTAACCAAGTAATGACGAGAATAAGGTTTCCGGCAAAACCGTTTCGACAGACAAAGAAATCGAACCCCGTCGAAACGTTTTACTAAATTTTTTTTATTAAAAGCAAAGTTGCGAAAGTTTCGACGAATGGCAAAACCATCGAAATCTTCTGATATTAAAATACAAGTTTTGAATCTAAAAATTTTATTATTTTTGTTTTACGAGATGAGAAGATCGTATATAGCAAAGGTCACTTTTATAATATATATTTATAAAAATATAAGAAAATAAAAATAAAAAATTACATATTGAAATTGAATTAATTTATTCAAGTCCAGTTACATCACTTATCTCCCAATTAGTATTCCTTCAATTTAGAGGTTGGAACCTGATTCGATATTCTGATTAAATCCGATACACAATTCGCCCGGTGCAGTTGCATTAATTACACATGATAATCCTATAAAAAGTTAAACTTTCAGATTTCCCAATTAAGTATTTACATAACAATGTTAGTCATAAAGACGAATCATTCTAGTCATCGTGCTGCATGAGAAGTTGTTTTTAACTCATTTCAATTATTTCTGTGAAGAAAACAACTTGTTCCTTTTTAGCCATCAACTACGGTTTTATTTTTTTCAAAAAAAAGATCATCAATATTTTTTTTATGTGCGACGATATGATAAAAAAAATAATTTCCGATTTTTTAAAATTAATAAATCCGAACATAAAAAATAAACCCGGTTCCAACCTCTATCATCATCATCTTTATAAGGTAATTCTTCTAATTCTTCAACAAGTTCTTGCGCTTCCAAATTTAAAACCTGCTCGATAAATAAGTTCTAATAGCGGGATGGTAGAAAATACATCTTCTGAAAATAGGTCAGCATTAAGTGCATTATTATCAGAACTTAATCAGGAAGAAGTAATCAAGACCACTTGATGTCCGTTAACGTCCGAAATGCGCATTTCGGACATTAACATATTTGGCAATAAATGATCGACTGTTACACAAACGAAGCGGCAACAAATGCTTTGTCGTTTTTAATTTAAAAAAAATATATATAATAACACCATTTTACTTAATCACAATTATTCTTAAAATATGAAGTCTAATATCGGTAAAGAAATTATCGAACAAATTAAAGATTTTATCCATTATAAGTTGACTACTGAACAACAATCATTAATTGATAAATTGATACCAAATCACGAATTGAAAACCAGATATAGTTTTCATGGGCTATGTAAAGACTGTGGCCAAATCTGTACCGCTCATGATTGGTGTCAACTTTGTAATTCGAACCGTTTGAAACAAAACTTTGGCAACTGGACAAGCGGTAATAAAGAAATCGATGAATTTATACAAAGTATTCAATTAAAAGCAACTCGTTCTCAAGAAATATTAGAATGGATCCCTTATAACAAATTCAAAGATGTTAAATTCCTCGCGAAAGGAGGATTTGGTACCGTATATAAAGCACATCTGGATGAGGGAGTTATTGTCGAATGGGATCATAAAAAGAATGATTGGACAAGGGCTGCCGGAGGAAATTATGTTTTAAAAGATCTAAATGATTCACAAAATATTACTGCAGAATTTTTAAAAGAGGTAAATGTTAATTGAATCATTAAATTAAGAAATATGAACAATTTATTAACGTCAATGAATTTAATAAAATTTAAAATGTATAGATTTATTTCCACAATTTGTTCGAATTTCCTATCGTAAACTCTCAAGGAATTTCTCAAGATCCAATTACTAAGAATTATATGATGGTAATTGATTTTATTGATGGCAGTAATATGAGAAAATACTTGAAAGATAATTTTAATCATATTTATTTAAATAATAAATTATATCTTTTAAATCGTATTGCGGGAGGATTAAAAGAGATTCATGAAAAGGGGTACGTTCATAAGGATCTGCATCCTGGAAATATATTAATTTACAGTGATTGGGAATGTCGTATTACCGATTTAGGATTATGCCAGCCTGTATCTAGTCAATCAGAGAAGTGCGACATTTATGGAGTCATACCATACGTAGCTCCAGAGGTTCTTAGAGGGAAGGAGTACACTTCGGCATCTGATATTTATTCTTTCGGAATACTTACACATGAAATGTTTAATGAAATACCAACATACCATGATTTGCCTCATGACGAATTTCTTGTCATCAAAATCTGTAAAGGATTAAGACCAAAGTTTAAAAGGAAAGTGCCACAATTGTTAAAACAGATGATTAATCGATGTTTAGATGCAAATCCATTAGCACGTCCAACCGCTGGTGAATTATGCATAATTTTCCAAAATTGGATTAATGAAGTTTTGAGCAAAAGAGATGCAGAGTTTGCTATGCAATATAATGAGGTAGTGGAACTCAATGAAAATATTGAACCAAATACTATTTCCAGTCCTCAAGCGGTTTACATAAGTAGGCTCCTTGATTTCGATAATCTTCCTGAACCCCAGAATTCCAAATTAATTAATAATGAATTTCATTTAGTTAGTGAAACTTTAGGTAATTATATTTAATTTATAAGTTTGTTTTTGAGAACATTTTATATTAGCTTATTAATAAAATTTATTGGATTTGAAGAATTTTTCTAGAAAATCCATTAAACAAGCGCACCAATTAAATCAAAGGGTTCAGATTTTATTATATGGAGGTAAGCTATTAAAATCACGTTACGATCATATGATTTACTATGTTTGTAACTCGATTTTAATAGCAAAACCTATGATTAAAATTTATTTTATCGAACTCATAATTTTAAACCGAGATTCACTTTGATTTTACATATAACAAGTTAACTAATATAACCTTCTGGGAATTGCAGTCTATTGTTAACAAAACGAACTTAGCTCTTTACAATTTTATTTTCAAGTGTTGTAACAGAGCATTTAAAAGTTTTTGTCTTTTGAAGAATTTATGAAATTTATCAATAAAATATTAAAATATTAGTTTACTAAATTTTAATGCGATTACTATGTGTTATTAGGTCAGCCAATTGCAAAGTATTGAGTAATACTAGTTTTAAATTGAAATTAATAGACGAAAAACGAAAACTAAACAAGAAAAAAAATATATACACGCCGAATTGCTGCGGTTCGCAGCGCCTAAAAAAAAAAAATAAATAATGAAAATATTTAATCGACTATTGTTTCACTAAATAATTATATTCAATAAAAACGAAAGCGACTGTAGAATGGAATTAACATGACGAGAAAGCAAAGTAGAAAGGTAATTTAACTGATATAATTACACGGCCGTATATGATTATTATACTTTGTCCGTGGAGTAATTTTTCACGGACAGAGTTTATTTCGACCATGATATTACAATATAAGTTATTACTTATATTAAAATACATTAAAAAATGTTTAATATGTTAATTATTTA